TGCTGAAAATCGGCGGGAAAAAAAAAATAAAATAATAATAAGAAACAGTAGAATAACAGTAGGGTCTTCCGAAGGAAGCTCGGAAGACCCTAATAATAATTATAATAATAAGAAACAGTAGAATCACTATAAGGTCTTCCGTGAAGACGGAAGACCTTAATTATAAAAACTTGTAATATTTGAATCCATTGGGTCTGGGGTTTGGTTCCTAGGGTGGGGCTCTATTGATTATATAGTGAAATGCATTATTTCTTTGCAAATTTTCTTCTCTGTCCTGGGTATTAAGCAAACATGCTTAGTGAATCTTTATGACGATCAAGTTGGGACTCTATTGATTATATGCATGTATTTATTTATTTGAAAATCTTCACTGCTCCTGGGTATTGAGCAGATAAATTAAGTGTGTACAGTTATGATGAGCAAGGGCGCCTCTTTCAAAATTTTGAATTTCATTGCCCTGGGTCAGAGGAGCTGGTGTTAGGACAGGTCTGTGTTGAATCTATAGTTTAAAATGTATTATTTCTAGAATCTTTTCTGCTCTTCTGGGCATCAAGGAGGCAAAAAGAGTACAAAGTTATGAAAGGCGATGGTATTTTTGTTAATTTTTTTTTTTTTTTTTTTTTTGGAAATTCTTGACCACTTGGATGAGTGTTCTGGTGATAAGAAGGGCTATATTTATTCGTATTTTACTGAGGGAATTTACTCCTCTTTACTATTCATTTATGATAATTAATCACTGTAAATAATGTAATTGAAAGATCAATTGAATAAGAGAATTATACAAGACTTTTTATACTATATTATTCAAAAAGTAATACTAAGTTTTTAATTGTCAGTGGGACTTATAAATTAAGGACAAATAAAAATGAAAGAAAAATATGTTGCTTTCGTAAAATGAATTTTCTTCAAATATCAAGAGAGGTTAAAGTGATAGGGAATAAGATACTGTTTTACTTGTAGTGTTCAAGTACTATTGTTGTGTTTAGCTTACATGGTGATAGTAAGAAATGGGGGCAAGGAAATTGAACAACTTTAAGATTTGTTACTCAGTACTAGACTAATTATTTTGTGATCCCTGTTCATCCTATTTCTCTTGTTTTTGAGCAGCATAACTTTATCTGTCAGTTTATTTTATTTCATACCTCTATGGACTGACTCTTTACATTGTTGTGTTATACTCAGGTGACCCTTAAGGCCCTTAGACCTCTTGTTTTTTATGAAACTGATTAAGCAATTAATGTAATTTATTTTTCTTTTGTTACTCATTACAGAAGGTAATAAAAAAATACCTACAAATACTCCAGTGTATTCCTTCTCGTAGAATGTAAAATTAAATGCGAAATCAGCATAGACAGATCCTTCAAAACCCTTTTGCGCTCTGGCGTCTCCAGCAGAAGATCCAAATGGATATAGGTCATGTATGGTCACTCCGTATGATAAACAGAGTAAATCCAAAGGTAGAAAGATCGCTAAAAGAATGAACATTTCGAGTAAACCTTTCTCTTCGACTACAGAGGTTAAAATATTTTTTTAAAGAAACTAGTATATCTATGCTCTTTTTAATAAAATCATTAAAGCAATCAAAGTAAAATGCTCCACAGTCTGCTAGCTACAATACGGTGATGAAGCATTTTGTGTTGGATAATAATATCAATTACAATTTTCTTAAGTTTCATCAAAGAAAGTTTCATTTAAATTTAAGTATTATATCATCCTCCAAGTGAAACAACCCTGGTTTCAGTGACGTATCCTTTGGATCAACTGTCGTATTTGCTTCTAGTGCAATTATCTGTAAATAAGTAGACATCTAATTATGTCAAACGATGGGAAAATTACATAAACCTGAACAACAAAATAAAAAATGAAGTCTGTCATGGTATGTGCACGTTGATATTAACCTGTGTTGAATCCCTCAAAATATTTATGATATACATTCAGAAGTACAAAATGCCGACTTTGTGTTTAATAAGCAATTTCAAAATGCTATACAGAGTGAGATTACACTGTTTTCGAAAACTGTATAATTTTGCAAGATATTTATCAGAATTACAGTTTTTGTATTCCTAATGATCAAGACCCTACGCACCATGGACACGATAGTTTTAGCACCCAAAATGTAAAGAAAGACAATGTTTTAATGTCAGGAGGACACTGAATCCTATAGAAAATATAAAAGATATTATTACCTAACCTACTATATAAATTGATATTAGGCATTTTGAACTGTTTACTGATTCATTTTAATGTTTTTGCCAATCATGAAATCGTCAAACTTTTAACCAGTCACAGAGTGAACTGTTGCATGGTTGAACTGTTCCATTTTGATATCATAATTAATTTTCCGAGCTTTACAGCTATAATATTGAATTATGTATAAATTGAGGCATTTTTATGGCATTCAATTTGAAATTGTTATTTGAAAAGTAATCCTGATATCAATATAGATATATATTAATGAAATATATGGAGATAACGAACACTATTCAAGCTCAAAAGTCCATTAAATAATACAAATTAGGAGCAGAGCAAACACGGACCTCCAAAACATTATAGGTGTGATCAGATCCCACTGAGGAGTGAGCATCCCCTTCCGACCGCTCACACCCGTAGTGTGCTCCTTGTCGTGATCGGAAAATAACGGAAAATCCGTCGACAATTCAATTTTTACGACAGGATACGAGGGCTGTTCAAAAATTCGTGGCCTCTGCTTTTATTTACTCTAACAGACGTTCAAGAATTGTCCACTCATATAGAGACGTCACTGTATGCCGTTGAAGGGCTTCAAATTTAGACCTATACTCGTGACATCAGGACCATTAAGCAGTGAGAGTGCTTTACCGAACGCCTACCGAAACACGGGACCTCGGTTTTTAATGTCTCATCTGAAAGTCCCGTGGTTTTCACTTCTAGTGCCGGGAGCTTGGCGAAGGAACAGTCACTATTTAGGTTTTTGTTAGGTCTGACGCGGCGAGGGAGCCTCTCGATCACGAAGAAGCACCCTACCACTAAGCTACGTTTGTTGGAAGACCCAGGGGCCCATTTCATCAAAGGTCGTACGCCTAGTCGTAGCGCTACGCCGGCGTAAAGTCGGGACTAGCACCAAGATTTGCATTTCATTAATTAGCGTATCTTTACACCGGACTAAAGTTAGGCCAAAATGCTAAGTCTACTCGTGGGTAGGCGTAAGTCCGGGCGTTAACATAAAATAAAGCGAATTTACTGATTTGAAAACGATTTAGCCATCCCTTAAAAAGAATTACGGCTCTAAGAAGTCTTTTTAATACAAACGATGAATTATTTAATTTCAAAAACTATTAAGATTTGGGGGAGCGAAAACTGGGGGGGGGGTTACACTCACTCGGGGAGGTAGTTGATATATACATGCAGTATTTACATAACTTTGATAAATTTCTTCATAAAAGATTGCTTTATTAGGGATTCATTTAGCTCAATATCTTAAGTTTTGACAATTCTGAATTTATACACATTTGATTGTTGTATTTTGAGTATGAGGTATTGTAAATCGACTATACGATATACAATTTGTATCATTCACTGAAAAAGAACCTATTAATTGTCTAATTTGAAGAAAAATGAGATCCCTGTAACATCAACTCATCTGTTAGTAGCATGCCTCGGTTTAAAAATTGATCATACTCAAAGCATTCTCTTGAGTATCGAACTTTAGTATAGAATAAGTTTGGAGTCGCAAGCTAAATATGCACGCTTTAGCGAAATATGTGGACATGAATAACAAAAATTAACAATAAAAAAAACTAAAGTAAATAAATAGTTATCAAAAATGATACTTTTTTCTATATTCCTTGCTTACTTCCTTGCTTACTTACCCTAGGAACCTGACCCCACCTCTGAAATTTCCAATGGTCCATAATTAAAGACCTGTTTACAGATTTATATTGTTTTAGGTGTTTTATGTTACCGATTATGTCACAGCATCTTCTTAATTACCATGTGATTTAAAATTAATAAATTTGTAGAAATCGAATTGACACCCAGTTCACCTGTTGTATCGAGGAGCTGAGCTATGTGTATATATCTTGTATATATCTTGTATATTCTATGCTAATTGCGGGGATTTTTGGGGCAGACTAATATAATTACACATCTCTTATTGGGATGATGACAATTATCGGCGACAGACACCTGTTTTGTTACTGATTCTAGATAGATCTTCACCTCGGAAAACGTTGTAAATTCTTAAAACGATATCTTTTAACAAGCTAAAATATGCGATTTTAACAATCAAGTAACAAAATATTAAAGTTCTTCCACAAGAGGTATAAATAATTTAATCTGTTTATGTAAAATAATTTTAAACGATATCTTTTAAAAGCTAAAATATCATGCGATTTTAACAATTAAGAAACAAAAATTACAGCATTAAGTTTCTTCCAGAAAAGGCATAAATAATTTATTCTGTCTCGTCTTTCATAACCAGATATTTCCTTGAAAACTAACCGCAAAATACACTGTGTTAGATGGATATAAAAATAATCAAAAACTATTTTAGAGCTGAAAAAAAAAATGAAAACTTTTCTCTTGTTTATATTAAGAGCATTTTGACCGATATCCTCGATTTTTTTTTTTTTCAGATTGACTGATTGTTTCTTCATATAACAACTTATTAAATTGAATAAGCTTGTGAAAATACTTACCACTGGTTTAGAGATTTTACAGAAAGAAAAAATAAGACAATTCCATTTCCGTTAATTAAATATTACTTTTCATCATTTAAATAATTTTCTTTTTTTAAATCAATTTTCATGCAACAAATTAGAAATTCGAAAAATCATTTTGAATTTTTTGAGTCCAAGGTTGACTTGTAATCTTTAATGTTAATAACATTATATTTAGACATAAATGTTATAGTCAATAATCACAATATAACATTTTAGTTAACAATTTAAAGACACTTGAACATTTAACCATTACCAGTTCTACGTACCTAAATTTTATCACAATAAGAAAACAAAAACACATTTAAAGATGTATTAATAATTTTATTTAAAAATTTTAAGGAATAATAACTGATAAATTAATAAAAGGCCGATGAAAAGGTCGTTAAAGTACGACTGAAAGGTCACTGGAAGATGACGGAAAGGTCACTGAAAGACGGAAAGAACACTGAAAGACAACGGAAAAATCACTGAAAGACGACGGAAAGGTCACTGAAAGATAACTGAAATGTGTCCGCTGAATGGTGACTGAAAGGTACCTGAATTGCGGCTGAAAGGTAACTGAAAGGTCACGGAAATGTACCTGCCATTCAGTGCCTGAATGGCCATTGAAAAGTCACTGAAAGCCGCCTGTCAGTTTAAACTGAAAATCTTGTTTCTTTCTGTGGTTGAGGTGCGACGGAATACGCAAATACACAGAATTCCAACAGCGACATAGGCTGAAGTAGACGCTTTACCCAGCTGGCAGTCATCGCGAAATACGTAAACACACAGAATTCCAACCGCGACATATGCTGATGTGGACGCTGTACCCATGCAGGAGGCAGTCATCACGGAGTACGTATACACACAGAATTCACCAACTCGACAAAGGCTGATGCAGACGCTGGACCAATCAGGCTGTCTCTAAGGAATACACAAACACACAAAATTGACCATCGCAATATAGGCTGATGTAGGTGCTAGTCCAAGCAGGTTGTCTTTACGGTATAGCGAACACAGGTAATTTACCACCACGACGTAAGCTGCTGTGGAAGCTGGACCAATCAGGCAGTTTTCAGCTTCAAATACATAACAAAAAGCAGCAGTATTTGTTCTAAAACAAGAGGAGGGTCGGTGGGTAAATTTTAAAATATTGCCACAATTTAATTTCCTAACCTTTTCCATGACTTTAGAATTTAATCGATTCTTCGAGAAAGGAGGTAGAAAACAATTTATTTTAGACTGTATACGAATGGATCTAAATTTTCCGGAATGATAGCTTGTGACTAAGGGTGGACATTTATATATCCGAATGTACGTAAATTATTCGGAATAGATATATATAACTATAATTAGGGTTACTGAAATAAACTCACTTATCCGAGACCAGGCTCATATAAGTGGTGTTATTTCAGTTTCCCTATAAATCAAACAAACAACAGAGATGTTAATTATATTTTGCCTGTTGAATATGGCGCTTCTGGCCGCGCTGATCTATTTGGGCTACCACAGGGCACCCCCACAATCAACAATCAATACAACAAATGTGACGACCCAATTACGGGCGGATCATGCACTGGATAGGTCATAAGTGCATGAACGTCATAAATTCAAGTATCAATCAAATTCAATCAAGCAATAATCAATCAATCAATTAAATATCAATCAAGTCAATTGCACTGATTCAAATCCTGAATTTCAATTTTCAACACATGTGCAATAGGATAAACAATGGAGTGGGCGTAGGAATGTGTGAATATGTGTTGCACTCCTCCAGTTGCGTTGAGGTGCGACGAAATACGCCACTTGCAAGGGCTGTGCTGCCTCTAGGTAGGTTTGCATACAGCTAACATGATGAACAAAAGTGTAATGATTCCTTTATTCAATCAGGTGAAAAACTGCAAATGAAAACCAAAATAACATGTAGAAATTATCTATAACTACATAAAAAGATACAAAAGATTTACAACAGCCAATTATTCTCGCACATAACCAACATGAAAGTTATCACTTAATTCGTGTGACAGAAAATGCGCACCATACATTGACAAAATCAGCCATCAGTACATAACAGCTCAAATTTGCATTTATGAAGCGGCACATAACAAGAATGGCTTTAAACTGTTACACATCATAAAAATAATTATCAAAACATGTTTGCAAACTTACACTGTCGTCTGATAGAGACAAAACAGCCAAATTTCATCGGTAAACAACTTGCTGATCTCCACGCGGGAAATATAAAAGCGAGAGTAAAATTAGAACTATAACGAATAAATTCCGGATTGAGTTCCGGCACACTCCTCGCCTGATATTGAAAATATCATTTGATCAAGTTGCAAAAAGAAAATACACTATACATGTTTTTTAAACACATAAGTAAGCAACTAAATACAACAAAAACATGGCTACAGTCTTTCAGTGTATCTAAAGATTAACCTTACATCATGAATTACGAGATTCACATTTGATTTTCTAGTAATACAATCACTTCACTTATAGGACGCAAAAATGTCTTTGGTTTGCCTTCTACAGAAATTCTGATTTGAATTTTACGCACAAGGTCGTCGGAACTTGGGATGACATTGGTAACAATTCCCATAGGCCAACAATTGCGTGGTAATTCTGAATCTTTCAATAACACAATATCACCAACACAAGCGTTTCTTTCGGTCCCAGTCCATTTTCGGCGGTTTTGTAGGGTATTTAGATATTCAACCTTGTAACGCTTCCAAAATATGGCGGCAAGATTCTGGACTCTTTTCCAATGTTTACGAAGCAAGTCATTGCGATCGAATTTGTCGACATCCAATAAAATACGATTTTCAAATCCGAGTTTTTGTGTAAGTAGAGTTGACGGAGTGAGGATCATTGGATTGTTGGGGTCTGTTGACACGGAGACTAATGGCCTTGAGTTAATGATATGACTAACTTCAGCAAGGAATGTTGAGAGCACCTCGTGAGTAAGACAGGATTTGTGTTGTAGGAGCATAGCTTCTAATATACGGCGGGTCGCACCAATCATCCTTTCCCACACTCCTCCCATGTGTGAGGAATGTGGGGGGTTGAAGATCCAAGAAATACGATGTTGAAGTAAGAAATTATGAATTGGACCATCTTCTACATTGACAACATCAATCTTCAACTCATTTGCTGTCCCTACAAAGTTAGTTCCTCTATCAGAGCGGAACAAAAGTACATCCCCACGAATTGCTATAAAGCGTCGCATAGCATTTATGAACGAGGAAGTGGACATTTCTTCCACTATTTCAAAATGCACTGCCCTTGTCACAAGGCACGTGAAGAGAGCGCCCCAACGCTTGCTGTTCGCAGAGCCTCCCCGAGTTCTTCTAGTAACAACTTCAAATGGACCAAACATATCAACGCCAACGGACGTAAATGGTGGCTGCCCGGGAGTTACACGATCGACAGGTAAGCTCGACATCTTTTGTGTTTCGGTTGATTTTCGTAGCTTTCTACAAATGACGCATTTGTGGATGATGGAAGAAACGAGTCTTTTGGAGCCTACGATCCAAAACCCAGCAGAACGAATATGGCCTTCTGTGAGATGTCTGCCCTGATGATGAATCTCTTCGTGGCATTTACGAGCAATGAGCAAAGTGATATGATGCTTGGCAGGTAAGATGATAGGAGCTTTGAGGGAGAGGTCGGAACCCAGATTTGTTAATCGTCCGCCAACTCTGAGAAGACCCTGGTCATCAATGAATGGATCAAGGCTCGCGATAGGGCTACACCTATTCAAAGGTTTTGAGTTCTTGAGCAAGCGTATCTCATCCGAGTACGTTACTGACTGGACTTCTCTGATGACATGACGTTCTGTTTTAAGTAGCAATTCAACATCGCTCATACATCTTGAACTATTTTGACGTTTCAAACTGATGTAATGCTGAATCTTTCGACGAAATGCGGCCAACGCAGTAATCAGTCTATTCCAATCAGAAAATTTCTCAAACACTTTTGAACCAAGACCTTCACTTGGTACAAATTCTTTAACTTCAGTTTTGTGAGAACGAATCTCCACATCATCTTCTGGTTGTACTAGGTTATAATCAAACGTATTTGGAGAACGATGTAAATCACCATCATCTGCTGGACCGAGTAACCAAGCACTTGCTTGAAGATTGCTAGGCTGAATCCCCCTGGTTCCAATATCTGCTGGATTCATCTCTGAACGAATGTATTTCCACTGAGAAGGTTCCGTATAGCTGCGGATCTTAGCAACGCGATTGGCAACATATACATAAAATCTCTTAGTGTTGTTGTGGATATAACCCAAGGTAACTTTGCTGTCACTGAAGAACTGAATGTTGTCTAAGTTAGTCTGGAGATGGTCGACTACATTCTGTGATATTTCTACTGCTAACACTGCAGAGCAAAGTTCTAGTCTAGGAATGGTAGTACAACTTGATGGAGCGAGCTTGGCTTTCCCTAATACAAATCCAGTAGAACATGAACTATCCGGGTATGTTACATGCAGAAAGCATACAGCAGCGATGGCACGTTCAGAAGCATCGCAATAGATTCTTAGTTCCTTGGAAACAGCTGTACTGAGATTTGGTACAATGACACGAGGCAGACGCAAATTCTCTAGTTTGGATAGTGTACGACTCCAAGCGCTCCATTCGGTGAGCAAATCATCGGGCAAAGGATCGTCCCAATCGCATGTGGAAGCTACAATCTTTCGGAGAATTAGTTTGCCGTTCAATGTGACCGGGGAGATAAATCCCAAAGGATCATACAGACTATTGATCACAGAAAGGATCCCTCTACGTGTTGTAGTTTTAGTTTCGGTTGAGATGCTAAACTTAAATGAGTCCGATCCTAGATCCCACAGCAAGCCCAAGCTTCGTTGGGTGGGTGTGTCCTTTTCAAAATCCATATCGACGATACCTTTAGCTAGATCTCCAGGTTCGAAAGCGTCCATTACAGCTTTGCTGTTGGAAGCGAACTTATGTAGACGTAGGCCTCCATGCATTTTCATGGCATCTTGGGTTTTGCTGATCAAGTTGATAGCTTCTTGGCTTGAAGGACAAGACCTGAGCCCGTCATCAACATAAAAGTCATTTTTGATAAACTCTTTGATGTCGTCACCATGGGTTTTGGCAGCCAAGTCGCCAATTCTCCGTAACCCATACATAGCAATAGATGGTGAAGACTTGTTGCCAAAAACGTGTGCACGCATACGGTAAGTGACAAGGGGATTTTCTATCAAATTGTCTTCGTGCCAGAGAAATCTCAGGAAGTCACGGTGATCTTCTCGTACTAGAAATGAATGAAACATTTGTTGAACATCTGCGACTACGCCGACCATTTCTTTCCTGAATCGAATGAGTACACCTAAAAGGTTGTTGATAAGGTCTGGACCTTGAAGAAGCTGGTCGTTTAACGAGACATTCATATGTTTGGCTGAGGAGTCAAACACTCCACGAATCTGCTCCGGCTTACGAGGGTGGTAGACCCCGAAGAGTGGGAGGTACCAACGCTCTCTTTCCGGCGGAACATAACGTGCTATCTCAATGTGGTTATTGTCGAATAATTTCTGCATGAAGTCCAGAAAATGTTGTTTCTTGGTTTGATTTTTATGCAGTGATGCATCTAACGACTTGGCACGATGCAGAGCAAGTTTGTAATTGTCTGGCATGTGATCATGTGGTTCACGGAATGGTAATGGGGCAATCCATTTTCCTTCCTCGCTTAGTTGGAATTCACTGTCCATGATATTCAAAAACTGACGATCTTCAATAGAAAGTCCTGGTTTGTTGTCCTGAGTAGTGGTTTCGAACACATTCAACGTTGTTTGTGTGGGGTTGTGTTTTTCTTTAAACACTGAGGCTTTTCTAATGCAAACCACCTGTTCACATGGTTCTAAGCCTGTTGGTCGACCATTCCTAGTGATACAAGTTCTATATGAAGCAACTGATGACGGATGGTGTTGACCTGATAAGCACACGTTTCCGATGATAGTCCACCCTAACGGCGATCTTTGTGCAAAGGGTGATCGTGGTGGGCCTATCCTCTGTTCGATGACGTGGTGAGCTTCAGGTAAGTCACGACCTAATAATAGCATGATATGCATAGATTTGTCGTATGGAAGCAGATAATCCGATATGTCATGCATGTGAGGATAGTGGAGAACAATGTCGGGAGTTGGAATTTCTGCATGATTGTCAGGCATGTTCTCACATTCCAAAACAGGAGGTAACTGTAGTTGAACTTTGTCATAAATGCCTTCAACTATCAAACCCTCGATGATTCTTCCAGTAGTTGTCAACTTTCCTGCGCATGATTCCATGGTATATTCCGTCGGTAAAGAGTTAATAGAGAAGTGATCGAACAACGAGCTTTTTCCTAGAGTACGGTTGCTCTGATCATCAAGCATCGCATAGGAAAGGACTGCATTCTCTGGTTGATTGTGAGGATATATACGTACTGGGACAATCCTTGCACAAGATTTACCTGTGAAATTAGGTACTCCACAGATGTCTGTACATCGCGCCCTGACAACCTCCTCGCCATGCTTTCTCTCGGAATTGTTAGCATCCTCATTTTGGTAGCTATGGTTTTCAACGTGAAGAGCTGAGCTGTGTGTGGTTGATTTGCATAAGTCACATTCAATCTTTGCATGACAGTTTTTTGCAAAATGATCTGACGTATCACAACACCTTAAACAGAAATTATGATCACGTAATATCTTCTTCCGTTCTTGTAAGTTCTTGTGTTTAAACGCTTTACATTGATTGATGGTGTGTCTAGAGCCTTTGTGAATCAGACATGTGCGTTTGGTATCGTTCATGCTGCCAGGGCTGATTTCAGTTCTGTGTGTAGAGATGATATGCTGACCTCTCGGTTTATGATTGTTCGTCACATTTTGCGGTTTGCCTGTGCTAGGCTTTCGACCTTGATTCCAGTTAGTAGCAGTTTCATATATCAGACCTGGGTCGTTTCGAATGGTGCTGATTTCGCCTATAAACTTCACAAACTCTGTGAAGGGAGGGAAAACAATCTTACGGTCCTTTTTGCAGCTAACGACTCTGTTGATTCATTTGTCCTGGATACCTTTTGGTAGTTTCTCGACAATGGGCTTGATACCTAAAGAGGAATCCAAATAGGAGAATATTGAGGAGTACTCAACGGTTGCTTTCACAGCTTGAATCTCGCACAGAATGTCATGGAGTTCATAAAGATCTTTACGGTCGATCATGTTCGGCAAGTTGAACAGTTTTGTTTTCAATGTTGACTCTAGTAACTCGGCACTACCAAAACGTTGATCCAAGCGTTCCCAAATATTTGACAAACACTGTAGTGGATCATCCGCACATGCTGCTCTCGAGCTCATTATCAGACGGAAAGCTTCGGATCCTGTCTGCACACAGTTGGTTATCAAGGTTAACTCCTCTAAAGGTGTGCACCCGATGTCTGAGGTGATGACTTTAAATTGTTTCTTCCAAACAATGTAACAGTCTGGCTTATCATCAAACTTTTGTTGTTGAAAGGTTTCTAAGAGTAGGTTTTTCTTCATGACAAAGTTTCCTGGCGATAAATGATTCAAGACTGGAGCTTCATCGTCAAATTTTCTCTGGACACCTGTTCCGTCACTGTGCCGTTTCTGTACAATATGTGAAGGCACTTTAGGAGTCGAGGAGACCGCGTGCAAAGTTGATTTTGGCACAAAAGGTTCACAATCAGGTGAAAGAGGCTTGTCTTGTGGGACGTCACTTGTATGCGGAGGCTGGGCATCATTGGTACCTGTGTTTATTTTATCTAAAAATTGCAAAGTTTTCTCCAAAGGACTCAATTCCTCCTCGGGTAACTTGGCTGCTTCATTGTCATCGGCGGCTGATTGTTTTTCGAGGTATGTGGCTTCGGCGTCCGCTGCTGCGGCAGTCTTACGTTGTTGAAGCAATTCGATCTGTAACGTTTTGTCAAACTGTTCTTTTTTTAGTGTAGCTTCTTGTTCTGCGAATTTGAGTTTCACTTTTTCAGCCTCGGCTTTTGCTCTTTTAAGTGCAGCTTCTGAAACATTTGACTTCTGACTTTTAGAAGAATAATCCGTTTTATGTGATTTTGTCATAGATCTTGTCTCAACAGAGTCTCGTTGAAGTGTGATTTTGTCCATTAGAAAGTTGTATTTCTTTTTAAGGTCATTCATGATTTCCCAGTATGCATTGATGTCCTCTTGAGCTTCTGTTTCACGTGATCTCGTGAGAAAGTCTAAATAACTGTTCGCATCTTTGTCGTATCTCTTGTATGCTGTGTGTAGGTCTGCTTGTGCCATTTCTAGTCCAGTTATTGATTTCGGTAGAGTTTGATCATAGGTTTCTATAGTGTTACTGAGCATAAAACCAGATGATTTCAACCTTTTTTCAAACATTTCTTTCTGTTCTTTGTAGTACTCTTGACCCTTTTCTGATTTTGATGCCATTCTGACTGGTCTATCATCTCTATCTACTATATCGTCGTAACCATCTGTGTACATCGTAGAAGTAGCATGTAACAGTGCGTTGTGAGATAAATGTCCTAGTTTTTTCACTGTGCTGCCTCTAGGTAGGTTTGCATACAGCTAACATGATGAACAAAAGTGTAATGATTCCTTTATTCAATCAGGTGAAAAACTGCAAATGAAAACCAAAATAACATGTAGAAATTATCTATAACTACATAAAAAGATACAAAAGATTTACAACAGCCAATTATTCTCGCACATAACCAACATGAAAGTTATCACTTAATTCGTGTGACAGAAAATGCGCACCATACATTGACAAAATCAGCCATCAGTACATAACAGCTCAAATTTGCATTTATGAAGCGGCACATAACAAGAATGGCTTTAAACTGTTACACATCATAAAAATAATTATCAAAACATGTTTGCAAACTTACACTGTCGTCTGATAGAGACAAAACAGCCAAATTTCATCGGTAAACAACTTGCTGATCTCCACGCGGGAAATATAAAAGCGAGAGTAAAATTAGAACTATAACGAATAAATTCCGGATTGAGTTCCGGCACAAGGGCCATGACTACTCGCGTCTACCACGAGTAATCATGGAACTGCATCCGCCACCAAAAGGGGTGCCAAGAACGATGGTGACAGCGGCGGTATCTCAAATGGTCACCGTCGACCAGGGCCTGCTCATTCACATACACAAACTTATAAACAAATGACTTACTAGTCAGTTACTAATCAATGCATAAAAACAAAATATGAATTTAAATTGTCATTCACCAATTCCGTTATAATGCTTTTAACAAATGTGTTAAAATGCAGTTATGGATTTGTCAGTATAAAATAACTCCAGATTAAGGGCATTTAATCTAAAATTGTGGGATCCTTACCTGCACTGTATTTCCTGTCCCGTTGGTTTATCAATTGCATAACTTACCTACCAGGCTTTTACCTCTTTTTAAGCCTTTTTATTGTTTTTTAGAAAAAGCTAAATTATCTTTGCAAGTGTTGGTTATAGTTGTACTAAAAAGTTTGGACTGAATTAGACCCAAATTGAACGAAAACGAGATATTTACATCACCTCTCAACTTTTAGGCAATAGAATACTTTTAACTATATGTGTGTTCTTAAAACTAAGCAGAATGCAAATTTAAGTGTCCTTAACCCCACCCCTCCCTTATTTCCCCAGCTGTATAAATTAAATTCCCTCCTTACAATTTATGAACCAAAAATGATCTCTAGAAAAAAAATCCTGGTAATGAAAGAAAGTAAAAATATGTGAACAACCTTGTAACTGAATAATAATATATTTATTTTTCTTGTGGAATTACTTCATATTAGGAAATTTGTTTTTCAATTGTTGAAATCAAAAGACGTTTAAGATTTAAAAATTCATTTTAAAGTCAGTTTAAACATGAACTATAATTGAAATTGCCTTGAAGATTTACCTCGAAACAATTCTGAAAAAAATAAGCGCTCGTCGCCGATATTTCCCTATCAAAAAAAGTACTATAGTTAACTATTGTTAACAACAGTTTACTATAGTTAACTATAGTTAATCAAAAAATTCACTATAGTAAATCAAAGTATTTTTACTATGAATTTCAGATAGATATATTTTATTTTTTTAATTCCTACAAGTAATCTTCTAATATTAAAAAGAACTATTTCTCCTATATTGATTTAATTTCCTCCCCCCCCCCCCCAAAAAAAAAAATCATCACTGGTATGTAATTTAAGAAATATTAAGGCTTTAAATCTTCAAAAAAGTTCTAGCGTAAAGTTTCATAGTAATCAAAGTATCAAAGTATTTAATAAAGTTAACTAAATTTTTGTTTGGGTTATCATTATCCTGATTAGAGACGTGTAATAATTAGTAAATTCAAAAAATAAGCACAATTAAGATGGATTAGTATAATACATGTAACGTCTTTTCTTAGTAAAATATCCAAATATGAAACAGATGTGTCAGACTCTATGGTATCTTTTATTTCAAGCTCACAATAGAAATTACCTTTGTTAATTGACAATACGACGCCGATATATCTAAATGTCCAGTTGAAGGTAACACCAAATGTTTTTTTTTTTCTCTTCACTTTTAAGATTATGAACAAATTCTGCTTCATACGAATTTAAAAAAATAGGTCTGCTAATAACGGGGCGAAATTAATACACACGGGAATTCCAATAGATTGTTGGAAGACCTGGTCTCAAAAAACCACATAGATATTGTCATTCAAAAACTCAAGCATCTTTTTGATATCAACTTCAAAGTACTTGTATGTACAATCATTGTTTTTAGCAAAGTAATTTTGCAAATGACCAACGACAAGGTAAGTAAATTTACGAGTTCCATTTTTATTGAAAAAGCAGCTGTCAATGATGGCAAAAAGCCTGGACATTGATTTTTCGTGAGAAATGGTTCTATATAAGTTGAAAAGTCGTAATTTTTTATGCTGTTGATTTTGATAAAATTTTGTGATTTCAAAATTTCCAAAAGTCCTTGTCAATATTTTAGTTAGGAGTAAAGAAAAAGGCTTGGTAGTACATTTTACTGTAACCCGCAATGTATCTTCGTTTGTAAGGATTTTTATTAAGTTTTGGAATCCAATATAGATAAGGTAAATCAAATTCATTTTGGTTGTTGGGAATATGAAATTTTTTAAAAACTGACATAATATTTTGAAGAATTTCCTACTTAGATAGGGAGCTAAGGGTATAAGTTGGATGACCACTTGTAGAATTAAATCCCAGTTCCTCTAAAATACTATTTAAATAATAAGTCTTACAAATTAAGGCAATGTTGTTACCTGCTTTGTCAGCTGGGACCAGTACATTCTGATCGTGTAATCTAATTCTTTTTTCACTTCTGACCTACTAAACACAGAAGGATAGATGGTTTTCCTATTGCCCTCAATCGCTTAATGCGAGATTTTAACATACATCTGATACATTTAATCCATTCAGACAAATTGTCAGATGAGTGTCTTCTTTTATGTCCGGCCCATCGTCTGGCGTAATCTTCCACAGAATCCATAATATTTATGAAATTATGTTAAAAGATCAGGTCCCTTAAATTTAGGACCTTTAAAAACTAGTGATTTAAGGTCCTCATTATTAACTATATTTACGTCACCAGCAGGACTTTAGTTGTAGGGTGAAGAAGAACATGAACACGAAGAAGGATCATGTATTTGATATCTAGGCTCTGTACAGTTTTCTTGTACATGTAATCAAAAAGTTTGGATGCAGCAGGTAAAAAAAAAGAAAAGAAATAAAAGACTGTCTATAGTGTTACGTTTGATTTATATTCCTTGATGACACTAAATTATTGAGAAAAACCATTGTTTGATATCTGTTAAACATGAATCAGTACAAGGTCCAGCGGGCTGGAACTTGTAAGCAAAATGAATTAGTTTAACATTTTCAGCGGCCATTTTGTCCTCGTAGAAGGTAACATTTAAAGGGTCGTTGGAAACATATGATGAACATACAGATTCAAAATACTTTGCTTCCTCGGTGTTTGATTCCTTGCAGTGATTATCATAAGGAATGCTTAAAACCCTTCCAGATTTATCAAGCCAAAAGCGAAAATTACTGAAATTGAGATTTTGGTCACAATTTTGAACAACAGAAGTATAGGTGGTACTTTGTTTCTTGGAAGATCTGTTTATTGCAACTGAGCAGTTTGTCCCAGAAAACTCGGTTTGTACTGTACTGTGTTCTACTCTCCCTTTCAAATAAATGAACAGGGCTTCTGATGCAGATTTTGATTGCAGCAAAAATTTTGGCTGATACCTCCATGTGTCATAATACAAAACCAATTCAAATACTGTTGAATTTTCTTCTGAATTCGACACTGAAAATAAAAAAAAAAACTCTTTAAAAAGGACTACAAATACATACAAAAAAATAAAAGTTGAATTTGTTCTAGGCATAGTCTGAGAGATTTGTAATATGTCCCTTTATTTCCAGAGGAAAACAATGAATTCTGAAAGAACTTATAATCTATATTTGTTTTCGTTGTTACAAGGACAATATTTATTTTATACTTTCTTTGTACCAGGTTTTATGAAAATAAAATCTATAAAGTGATAATTCTAATAATTCAAAAAAAAAATAAATCAAATCGTGAATAGTGCAAGATCTCACATAGAATTAACAAAGGTTTTTTGTTTAATTGTATGTTGTTTATATATAATAAGGAAAACCTTAAGTCATCTCTTTTTCGTACAATTTAGTTGTTAATTTGCCTTTATCATCAATAATCAGTAAAACATCAAAATATGAAACAGATGTGGTAGAACCCGCGGCGTCTTTTTATTTTAAATTTACTGTGATATATCGAGTTGACAAATGAAGAGAAGTAATAATTGTTAATTGATACTACGTCGTAAACAAATCTAAGAAATAAGTTGAAGGCCGCAAGTGTTTTCTTCTTCTCATGTCAAAGTCTTTGAATAAATCGAAAGACAAAGTTCTAGCAACAACGTCGAGGCCTCGGAATTGTGATATTAAATGTTCCCTGTGAATACTTAAACAAATGATAAAATTCGAGACTTAGAGGGACCTTGTTAAACGTTGACATTTTTAGTCCCTTACGCATATTTTGGTAAACTACTTTAATCAGTACCGTGAGAATGTCGAAATGAAGCATTTCTTAAAAGAATGTTGAAAGAATTAAAAATATTTTTTTTCTCTAAATTTGTAAACTCTTTAAAAAATCGACCGTTTTTTTTTTAATGAAATAACTGTTTTTCATAAATGTTAAGCGGTTTCCTTCTTTAAGTGTTTTTTGTTCTGCTTTTTGTCCGCACTAATGCATGATTGAAACGAATCGTTTTCAAGACTCAAGATTAAAATAAGCAAATTAATGTATTTTCAATAATCAATTAAGGAAATGAGCAGTGATTAAATTTTAGTGCACAATTTCATATTCGTTAACTGTTATGATTGTTTATTTAGAAAAACAGACAGTTAAAAGGTAAAAAAAAAAAAAAAAGAAGAAAAGAAAACAAAAACCTTTCTAACCTTTGTCAAATTTGACAATTGTCCCCTCACCAAATGCGACGGTTGTATCCAGGGGACAGCGGAATCTTCCATACATAGTTGTCATCTCCTCCCTCGATTCGGACACATTCAGATAAAGTGGTTTTATATTTGGTTTTTCAAGAACTCGCACAGCTTTGGAATCCTGTAAATTATAAAACTTAATCTTGTCAACGTATTTTCCCATACAAAAATACTAAGGTTAATCAGTTCCAGCTTAATTACTATCATATAAATAAAAGTTTCCCAAGTTATTGCTATAGTGACACTTAATTGAACAATAAAGTAAACCAAAGTAAAGTAATTGAATAAAAGTAGGTAAAGTAAATTGTCAAAATCATGGCTATAATGAATAGTAGTTCCAAAAGTTATCCATTTAGTAATTAATTGTTTTTAGGTTTTCTATATAGTAAATCAAAATGTAAAAATATGTGTTCATTTTTTTTTTTTGAATTGATATCTAGTTATTCAACGTGTCAAAGGGATCAATTAAATATTCTCACGTTTTGCCTATGTATCATAAATAATACATTTACTATTAGTAAACGAGAGGACCATTCTTTGGTGAAACTATATTGCATTCAGTCTTGTAAAAATATGAAAATATGATAAATGTAAAAATAAACTTACACAATGACAGGTGTCAATCACCACCAACAAGCCAAGAACAGTGATTTTCAACTTCCTTATGAACATGATATATCTTTTATGAAAACCTTTCAAATATATAGGACACTTTCTCTTTATCTTTGGGATTGACTGTTATTTATAAGTATTTATAAAGCGGTCGTAATAAAGAGAGTTAACACTGAAAATGTCAAAGATGCATCTATCGGGCACGTACCATTAAAGGTTTATTTTGGTGTTACAATGTAATTAATAAATATGCATACAAATGAAGATTAAGTCATAATTGTATTGAAAAGGCAAACATAAAAATGTCTGGGGTTTATTTCTTTGGTCACTTTGTTATATACATTATTAGCAAAGAATTAAGTTTTATTTAGTAAAGATAACTTCTTCTAAATATTCAATTATGGTACACACAATACACAGTTAACCATATTATCGGTGGTCCTTCAAAATGTCAAAGATTCATCTCTCCGTGATTCGGGAATATAGCATCATTTGTAGATATTTATGATTGTCGACGAATTATAATCAAGGTCACCGTAAGCCCAAAATCAGAAAAGTATTAGTTTATCAGTTTAACATGGAAATTATTAAGTGACATGGAAAGAGTAAATTTATGTGTACAGCGTCCCTCTCGAGCATTTTTTTCTCGAGACATCTTGAGACACATATATCTTGTTTAAATTGTTTCCTCAACAGTTGGTTAAACGGGCAAAGTTAACTTTTCTGGCAAGCTTTTTTTGGTAAGCCAAAGTCTAGTGCAGGTTCATTTTAAAAGAATTTTTGTGCCAAAGTAAAAGAATAAGGTATTTGCTGTCCCAGTGCGCGGGTTTTTTTTCATCTAATGAAGTGACAACTTGCATAACGTGTAAATTACGCCAACACCAACGTCATAATGATGCTAAATGACGTAATGTTGAAATGGATAAAAAATTATTTTCATAATGATATTACTTTAACAAAACAATTTCAGTTGGAAAATAAAAAAGTGTCGATTCTTTTCTCATCAAAATCGTTTGTTATTCTCATGTAAAATCAATTCGTGTGACCACCCAACCAATCGACTCCATTCGATTTACCTGAGAAAGTCGAATAATAAAAATCGCAACACCTTTAGATGCACATTTCTGCAATGTTTACCTCAACTAGGATGATATTTGAATTTTTCTTCTAAAACAGTACTCATCTTTTGTTTTTAGAATTTGTGAACAGATAAAATACCTTATTTTGCTGTACTTTATTTCTAGCTAGGTTGGACGGTATCATTGGCAATATACCGAATGTAACACAAAAATTTGAACCAAGATAAAAATTAAAAAGAATCATTAAGTTTAAGATTATTCTGTAGTACAATATCATGCAGATGAAAGTAGTTATGAGAAGATGTTGTTAACTAAAGAGGAAGTGTTCAAACTGCAACTGTTATTACAAACATATCCAGTGGTAAAGTAATCTTTCTCTCTTTGACACTGTGATGGCTTCTAGAATTTTTCATATTCTGAATCGTACGTCAATTTTTTGCAAAGTTTATGGTGAATTGTATATTCCAACCATGGAACGTTTTGGTTGAAAATGCATTATTCACAAATGTTATGCGAAAGCTAGCATGGAAGAAAAAGAATTATATGTCATAATGTATGTATTATCAGTAATTCTGTAGTAATGTACTTGAAATCAAAATGCAGTCTGGAAGATAGCAAGTTGTACATCATCCGGCGTGTTTCATATTTTCTGTCTAATTCATACTCTTCATGGATCACTTTTACTTATCCTTTTTCAAGCTTCTCTCGACATCCACACCCAGTCCAAAGGGCCTAGATAGTTCACAATCATCTACACATTTCAGGAACTGTCCAGCTTTATAAAGAATATGTAGACAGTCGTTGGTCCAATCTGCCACAATGATCTGACTCATGGAGTCTGTCACTAGCTGATTAGGATCAAATGCTTCCTTCCTTTTGGCTGGTGTGCCATCGTATCGGAATCGTACTCTTCCTGCCTTGTCTACCACTACTACAGCCACAACATTGCGATCAGATGCACATATATCTTCATTATTGTTCTCTGCAATAAACAACATAAATTTACCACTTCCATAGATTGCTTTTTCAATTTCATCTTTAAATATTTCCTGTTTGACTTTCTCTCCTTGATAACGGACAATCTTATCTTGGTCTCCGTTATATAGATTGACCAGTATGTTCCCTGATCTAGCTCAGTCCTGCTGGTTTCCAATCCTTTTGTGTGGAGATCATTATCCGTCTTCCTGTCTCTGACAATGTTCACAGTTCAATTCTCATAATCACTGTATATCAGGTCTCCTTCAATCCAAGCTGGATTTGACATGTGGTAGTAAAAGTATCCTGTAAAGATCCCTGATTGTCAACACATCGTATTGTTCTATCTAAACCACTAACCCAAACTTTATCTGCTCCTACACAGGCCAGTCCTTTTAGGTGTTTAACTCCAGTAGGAATCGTTGCAGTAACTCTGGCTTTGTCTAATAACTCTCTCGTAGACAAATAGGAGACTTCATCTGTTAGACTTGAAGTAGATATATCTGTGCCAATTTAACCATGTATTCTCCTACCTCCATTTTAAATTCTCTCCCTTCAACTGTGTAAGTTTTCAAGGGAGGAACTGAAACATCAATGACTGCTGGAAGGTCCCTGTATTCCGTCAGTTTGGATTTATAATTGGTGACCTCAGACACTTTGTAGTGCTAAAGCAATTCCTTGTTTTGTTGTACTGTTTCGGTCATGTCTGAAATCAAGCCTCTGAGTTTGGCCTAGTGTGATTTCAGCATTGTCAGGTGGTTATCTCTGAAAGATTTGATTAAAGAACTGAGTTTGTTGAAGATGTTGTCTACTTCTTGATGCCAAACTATTCTGTGTTTCTCTGTTTCTTTTTCAAGATCAGTATATTTTTCCTTGGACATAATTGTATCTCTTTCTGCATCATCAATTTTCTTCTTGTATTTGGGGATAACACTTGATTCAAGTTTCCTTTTGGATTTCCCTTGTCTTGTCATTGACAATATTTGGTATGTCTCTTATGTTGTGTCCATTATGCAAATTGATGACGCATTTCATGCAGACTTGAACATCACACTTTTGACAGTGGGCCTCACATCTCTGGCTGGAGTGGAATTTACACTTTGATAGATTAGGTTGTGTCTTTCGATTCATCAAAGGAAAAATGTCATGTGTTAAGGACTTCTGATTTTTGACACGTATGTTGATATATTCCTCACATAAACTGACCTGACAGCTATTACAGAATTGCTCCGTGGGGTTGTCACATAGATCACACGTGATGACTTACTAGGCCCAAGAAATGGGAGTAGCCATATTCTTGCTTGGTTGTCAAAGATTGAATCTGTAAATACATTTTGATACAAGAAATGTTTGTAAAGTATGTTCTTTTCCAAATGTGGACAAATGTGATACATTCTTACACTATACTACAGTCAAATTTTATGTAAGTCATCTAAAATAAATCGGTACACTTCCCTTTGATAACACACACACAAGCATAAGTCATGATCACAAAATTAAGTTTCAAAAACTCCACTCCAGACAGATTCCCAAGCCAAACATACATATTGTAGTTGTTGCAAATATATATCTTTTGAAAATCTGCATCATAGATGGAATGTTAGAATTGTGATTGGAGCAGTCATTATTTTACTGTTATCAAATAATATTAAATGAACAATGAATATTCTGACTTAATTATCATTATGTTATTAGAATAATTAGAAAATCTTTTAATTTCATCTGCACGACAGAAATATGTAATGGACATTCATTTTTATTTTGGCTTTCATTTTTTCCTCAAGAATTCCAATATGGATGTTTATACATGCATTTATACATGTTTAAAGTAAAACCCTGTTTAACTGCACTCAAACTTTTTTTAAAAAAAGGTAAGCCACACTAATTACTGAAATGAAATACAATGGTAAAAAGTGACATTGTACGTACAAAATTACCACTGTAAGTCATCTAAAATAAATAGTTGTTGGGATATGTTGTCAAGCAGGATATGACAAATCAGACAAATTATCTTTATCTTTTAAACTGGTGTTCTTTTTGATTATTTATCTCGTCAACAAAATATTATCAAGAATATGACTCTACTTTTCACTTATCTCCCTTCAAAGGCGAGTGTATTCCTCCTGGTTGTGACTGTGGCCGATATTGAGAAATATGGAGGTAGTTTACATGTAGACACGATAAAGAATCAGACGTAGCCTCAAAACAAACATTGAAAAAAATCCTCTCGTTTACAGTACCCAAATCGTTATTATTTAAGGATGCACGATACGAGAGGAAACACGCACGATACTATAGGATGCACGCTCAATACTATAGGATGCACGCTCAATACTATAGGATACACGTACGATACGATAAACGCAAAACACAACAGACCTGATAAACTTTTTTTACGATAAGATAAACGCAAAATCTTACAAGATTGTTTCAAAATGCCAACCGTTTTGACAAACGCATTGTGGTTTATCAACCTTGAAAACTAGATTACAAGAAAATTAAAAATATAAAGATGAATTTTATAACAAGAGGCCCATGGACCTTGGAAGTCATCTGACTATCATGATCCTAATACAGTGGAGTATCGTTAATCCGAACTCCAATAATCCGGACTCTTAACCTTCCCAACAAAATTAGTGGGGAGCAATTTATATTTAGATATACTGAGTATGTATCATGTATCAGTGATCCAGTCGCTTCATCAATCTATAAACTTGCTCGGCAACACGTGCATCTGGATTAACCTGAGCTCCTTATAATGATTGGATAAAAAAAGAAATAATCCGTAGGCAGTTCAGTGTGAAAATAAAGCCTAACCATATGTATGTAAAAAGTTCATCAACTTTCGAAAAAAAAAAACGTAGATTGTATTGGCAAACAATGTCATTATATCGACCATAGAGCTTGCAAAATTAATATAATTTTACACAAGTTTGAGATGTGATACTAATTTACGCCCTAATCCGTACCATTTACTAGTAATTTCTGGGGATGGGGAGGGGTAAAGACAAAACTATTTGTTTTGTCGTGCAACCAGAAACACTTTTTGTATGTCTTAGCTAAATTTAAGACAGGTGTTAAATGGGGCTTTTAGATGGATGCATTACATGTATAACGTTCTTAGGCAGTACAACTATAGCTTTTTTTTAAAAGAAAAAAAAAAGCTTTGCCGTCTTTAGCAACAATCTTAAACTGTAAACTGACACACACCTATCAGGCCGTATTATTCTTTAGTACTGCATTTCTTGGCTTTGGACTTTTCAACAACTTTTTACAGACATTAGCCCTACAGTATTAACGAAGGAAAAAAAAGAATGAACACGCATTTCAATGTTTGATTCAGAAAAGAAACTTTCTGTTCATCATGAAAATATAGCAAAACTTACTAATAGTTGTTAAAAAAAATAAAGTGTCAGTTTCATTTACTGTAATTTTATTTTTGTTCTTTTTGTCGATTTCTTGAAAAAATGTTAAGTCGTACGAAAATTAGATCACTAGAAAATTATCTCCTTTGCCTAACACAGAATTTCAACTAAGGAAACAATTAAAATTTTCACATCATGCATTTTCTACCAATCACAGAAGAGAGGAAGTGTGAAGTCCGAAGACTGTAAAATACTTCAACTCCGTATATCGTCTTCCAAGGAACCAATTAATATGATTATGCCCAAAATCAACGCTATTGATGCGTGAATATGTAGATGTTCAATTAACTACGATATTAATGACTTGAATAAATAGCTTATTGCTCATGTTCTGGATTTCAGAGTTGTGTTTCTTCTCTCTCTCTCTCTCTCTCTCTCTCTCTCTCTCTCTCTCTCTCTCTCTCTCTTTAAAGAACAAGGTTCACTTAGAGCCTTTTTTGGCCCTGTGAATTTCTGAAAAACTGAAACTGCTTAGTTTTAGTTGACAATGCATTAAATTTCATTAAGACATTTGGCGATTGCGAATCTACTGAAAATGACGTAATTTTCTGGCTAGTCAATGCATGAAATGCGTCATTTTCCTCATATCCTGAACAATTCTACAAAAACAGCCAATTTTTAAAGCTATTTTTCAATAATTAATATAAAGCGCAATATCTGATCTAAAATATGCAATTATTTACTGATAGAACCGTTTCTGAGAATTACAAAACATGTTTTTTTTTTTTTTTTTTTAGATCAGAGGGTGCGCTCATATTATTTTTGTTCTCTGAAAATACTTAAATATGCCTGTTTTCCTTAAAATTCAAGAACATTGCAATTCCATAAAGCTTGTTTTCCAAGACCTGGACTTTTAGGAGAAAAATTTTAATAGGAAATGAAAGCAATAAGTCTCTACTTTATCTTGATGTTTAAAATGGAACATAAGGTGTTAGTCAATAAATTGGTATATCTACAGGGCCATTTTATGCATAAAGTGAACCTGCTCTTTATTCAAAGTTCCTAGTTAAGGACATTACGTTCATTGATTTTCCCCTAGCTCATTTCTACCTTGCTTCATTCAGTTTACTTTTATGTTTTGTTGACTTATCTTTATTACATTTTTTCATCACGTGACATCGTATACGTAGATATGGGAAGTCATTACAGTTATGTCTCTAAGAGACGGTCCTTTGCCAACACAGGTATGTTTGATATTGCTTTCTCTTTGCTTAACAGTTTTATAAATATTAAGTACATGTACGATCTATCTATTATTTATTATTCTTTTGTAACGTTTTGGGTTTTTCTTGTATTTTGTATATAATATCATTCCTTCTTTCAGTAATGATATAAGGACCATGCCATTTTGGAACTAATTTTCTACACTGGCCCTGTCTAATTTGTGGACAGTAGTACCATACAGGATCTCCCACATTATAAGCTCTGGTAGATATTTTTCTATCATGATACTTTTTCATATTTCCAGCTGATAAAGCTAATTTCTCTCTAGCAAGAGAATGGATTTTATCCATCTTTTCTTGTAATTTGTAAGTATAGTCAGACATGTTACTCTCTCCATTTTCAGGTTCTGGTCGACCCATATCTATGTCCAAGGGTAATTTTATCTCCCTCCCTAACATCATCAAACTTGGAGACATGCCAGTAGATTCATGAACTGAACTTCTGTATGCAATCATCAACAGAGGAATATGCACATCCCAATCTTTCTGGTTCTTAGAAACAAAAGATAAAAGCTTCTTTAAAGTTCTGTTCATTCGTTCAATCATTCCGTCTGATTGTGGATTGTAAGGAGAAGTTCTAGTTTTGGTAACATCCAGCAATTTACAAACTTCTTTAATACTAAGGACTCAAATGTGGTTCCTTGATCACTGTGGATCTCATTTTGTACACCTAACACAGATATAAATCTTTCAACAAGAACCTTAGCTACTTTTTTAGCTTCCATGTCTTTAATCGGGTAGGCATCGACCCATTTGGTAATCTCCAATTACTAGGATATGTTTATTTCCAGAGTTACTGCGTGGTAACCCTGACATGACGTTTAATTCTGTTCGTTCCATTGGACTACCTGATGTGTAAATTTTTAAGGGAGCTTTATTTGTTTTACTGGGGCCTTTACATTTGGCACAGGTATCACAAACTCTGACCAAGTGTTCTATGTCTGACTTCATTCCATACCAGAAAAAATCTCTGTCTAACTTTTTCATAGGTTTTCTTAGATCCCAAATGACCAGCTGTTACTGAACAATGTAGCTGTTCAAAGACTACAGGTAGTAAAGCTTTAGGAAGGACTAAATGCCACTCTACATTTTTAGGGTTTTCATTTTCCCACTTTCTATATAACACATCATCCTTCAAATGGAGAGTTTCCCAGATGTGATAATAATGCTTAACACTTAAGCTACAAGGAGTTACTTTTGACCAATCAGGCTTTTTGCCAGCTACCTTCCACTGATACACAATTTTAATGTCAGGATCTGAGGTTTGAAATTTTACTAATTGTTCTCGACTGAATACATCTGTATTTGTAGCATTTGCTGTCACTA